CTACACGCATGTAAATAATTAAAGCGCATATACTGTATTAGATCTGCATCGCAAATAATTATTTAATTAAATCGTAGCGCTTGTGAATTCACAATTATGCTTAATTATGATTTTTTTAAATGGGTTTAATATATCATGCAGTCTTGGAAAACAGACTAATAATGTGTTTTATACATTCTTGTTTGTGAAATGCGCCACATCCGGTATTTTACCGGTTAGTCGACGCAAGCAAAATGAAGTCGAGGATTTTAAAAAATCTAATAGTCGAATAAAATCGACGAATCGCGACAGCCCTAAACCAGCCCCAAGCTCAGAATGCCAGACGTGTAAGTGTGCGCCTCTCACCTGCTCCTCTTCAGTGAGAGGCAACAGTGCCAGTGGCTGTTGAGGCTCATCCTGCAGAATAGCAGCAAACTCTTTATCCTGCATTTCTTCAGGGACCTGAAAACACACACAACAATGTAACTCACTCTACTGTTGCAAATGATGGACTCAAAATCAGGAAATTTACATCAGGACAGAGAAACATTTTAAATATACAAAGTCTGGACTGTGCTGATCTGAGTCAGGCTTAAACCCATCAACATTCTTCAGCACATTTTGGGTAAATTCCAAAAAGAATTTTTGCACCCTTATAAGGGCACTCCACCATAGGGGATGCTACAAAAATTGAGCAACTCTATCCCTTCACCAATGTCCCTTCTTATAGGCTCAAAGGTTTTGGGAATTTTTTTTATGTTTCTGAAGTCTTTCACTCAGGTCTGCCCACTCAGGTTGCATCTGATCAAAAATACAGCAGAATCAGTAATGTTGTGAAATATTACAATAAGTACTGTTTTCTATTTGAATTTATTTTAAAATGTTATTTTTTCTATCCTATGATGGCTAAGCGGAATTTTCAGCAGCCATTACTCCAGTCTTCAGTGTGACATGATCCATCAGAAATCATTCTAATATGCTGATTTGCTGCTCAAGAAACACAAAATGTTCAGAGGTAATGCTGACTTTTAAATGGAAATCACCCTTTAATTTAGCTTCTGCCCTAATTTCTGCCCTAAGGAACTGTGACTATTTAAGGGTTAAGTTTGCGTAATGCTGACGTGGCTTCTTACAACAGATATTAACTGGTCAACTTTTAGAAGTAACAATCAAATCATCTTGCCTATATATATATATATATATAAAAAAATGTTAAAAACATCTCAGGTTCCCTTTTTAGATTTGTAATATTTCCACAATAGTGGCCCTACATGGGGACTTTGAGTGCCTGGATTTCTTGAAAACACTTTTCCAACACATTGAAAGTGTAATTACAACAAATATGGAAGAAAAATAATGCCATACGTATTTGAAACAAAAAAAAGCACGTTGAATAGCACTAACTGGAAAAAATAATGCATTGTATTTCCAGGGCTTGCATTTTTAGGTCCTGAAATTTAACATAGTTGTTTATTTAAGCTGTGAATATTTCAATTCAAAATATTTCACACACATTTTCATAATTAAAAATTCAATAATTCACATTCACCTTCCAGAATTCACTTGTGTATGTTTAAGCCAACATCTTTGCTGTTGCCCGTGGCCTACATGCAAACAGCTTTCTCTACCACAAAGGAGATAATAATGCTATTTTACCCAACACTGAAGTACAGAACTAACATTACATCTGAGGAAGGCATGTTGCTTTCGGTTGCTTAGTTTCCGTAACTTTGTATCGTGGCTTGTGTGACACTGTGCTGTAATACTGCGGTTCCCCCTCATATTTCACACTCCAGGATTCCCCAACGACGCGTAACGCGCCTCAGTGAACTATTACAGTGATACTTAAGAAATTACTGTAATTCATATAAAGTTTTTTTTATGTTCCAAAGGTTGTAGTACATTCCTAGTGACTCGACTGACGTACTATAGGTGAAATTTTGCTAATACCTCCCTTACTGTACATAAAATACATCAATATTTTATACTACAACCTTTGGAACATGAAACATCCCTTTTGGGGTCTTACAGATTTTTTGGTTTTTGTTTTAAATAATTATGAA